TCACCCGCTTCTCGCTAGGGATTTTTATGTTCAGACCATCCTGTGTGGTTACTTTCTGTTCCTGAGTTTGTAGGGCCTGCCATGCTGGCCTCCCCCGAGCTTGTCAGTTTTAGTACCTGATCCCTTTTTCCGCCACACTGGCACGGAATAGGGGGAGAGGAAGAAACAGAAGGAGTCAGTTGGGGACTAAGACTCCAAAGGAGGAGCCTGGATGGGGGCCCGAGAGGCAGGAGGCAGGGGATAGCAAACCAGAGAAGAGGCCCAGGCTGTTCCAGTTTGGGAGCAGCAGATGGGAAGTTGGGACACTCCCGTGTAGGCGGGGCACTGAAAGGTCCTCCAAGGGCAAGGATGGGCCCAGGGAGTGTTGGCCCTTTAGGTGACGCAGACCTCCGCAGGCCCTTTCTATCGGGGAGGGGTTGTACTTTTCCATCAACTTATCTACCTCCTCCGTGTGTGTCTGGGTGGCTGCTTAACAGTGTGTGCATTTAACTGTTAGGCTCATACGAGGAGTCAGCATCCACAGAGTTTGCCATAAAACATATATGTGGCACTTAACAATTCTGCCTATAATGTTTTGTTTTCTCCCCAAAGGAAGCATCTCTAAAATTTCAATAAATCGGCGAGGGAAGTACCTAAAATACCGGTTTTTCTGCTTATATGCTAAACTTGCCACACAGGCACATTGCGAACAAAAACTAGGCTGTCGATCAGCATTTAACTGTGATACCAAAACTTTCAGAAACCCGGAAGCAATCAGTGTAATTAAGACAATGTCCACTGCTCCAGGCCCCCGTTTGCCACAGGGACACACCCTTTGGACCACAGGACAACGTCTATATACACAAAACCACACGCCTGTGTCCCTTGGGTTCTGCTATCAAAGTTCAGCCAGGTGGTGTGTCAGGATAGGTGCCGTCGGTCTACCCTGTATTTGCTCTCACAGTCCCTGCTCCTTGGTACGTACAGTTTCTCCAGCTTGGAGTAGGGACTGGGGTCATGACGCTGCTGATACATAAGTATTACCAGAACCATGGAACGTGGGGTAACGGGTGTGTAGTCCCTTGCCAAGCCTGAGGGTTCCCGTGTTGGGTCTTAGGAACCTGTGAAAGCCAGAAAAAGGAATCAAGCATTGGAAGCAGTCTGGTTTCACGTAACTTGCACGCAGCACCCTGCATGTAACAAACAGGTTCATAAAAGAGTTTAAAACCAAGCCAAGGCTGGGAACACAGTAATCAGAGACAGGAGGTGTTGAGAGGCCAGAACAGGATCAGGAAGGTGACACCAAGAGCTGTCTGGGGCTCCCTTTTTAAAAAAAATACCTCTTTTTATTGATTTTCGAGAGGAAGGGAGAAAGAGAAACATCAATGATGAGAGAAAATCCTTGATCAGCTGCCTCCTGCACGCCCCCTACTAGGGATCAAGTCCGCAACCCAGGCATGTGCCCTGACTGGGAATCCAACTGTGACCTCCTGGTTCATAGGTCAATGCTCAACCACTGAGCCAGGCCAGCCAGGCATGGGGCTGCCTTTTTGATGGAGTGGCGCCTGGCTCGTGGGGGTGCTGCCTCTTCTCTGCAGAACTTGTTCCCCCTGAAAAGGGGGAACTCCCAGCACCAGCCTAACCTCCTGTCTTTCCATCTGCCCTGGTCTCCCTCCCACTTAATACTAACTTCATTCTTTCTTGCTATTTCCCTCTTGCCCAGGGGTCTCTTTACTTTCCATCTAGCGTAGTCTGAGATCTTGATCTGTCTAGTCTCCAGATAATGATGAGAAGAACTGGCCTGACCCTCTTTTAAGGTTCACTGAAGCCTTTGCAGGGGAAACTGTTATTTTAAATCTTGTGAATGGTTTGTCTGTTGTGAGTCAACTTCCCAGATTAGCACAGGTCCCCACAAATTAATCCTGACATTCCGAGTAGGCTGTTGGAAAGTGGAGGCAGGACCATACCAGAGGGATGAAGTCACGGCACAGTAAGGGCCTGTTCTCGACTCTGCACAGCAGCCAATTCCCGGTTCCGTGGGAGTGATCCGCAGTCCCACTGCCTGGGAGTGAACAGGCAGTGATGGCATCCGGCAGAAGTTAACCGAGAATCTTGTGGAGTTTCCTGATACAGCCTGATAGAAATGCTCCGTGTGTGCACTCGCCTTGTGTAATTGTGTGTGTGATTGTTTGTACACATGCATGGGTGTGACTGCATATGTATACATGGGGCAGTGCGCATATATGTGTAGCTGTGTGTGAATGGATATGCAAGCAGCTGTGTACACACAAGTGTGACTGCATGCTCACATGTGTGTGCCTGTGCAGATATGTATATGTGTGCATAGGTGAGCATTTGTGTTAGGGAGTGGGCCTTTATGCTGATTAATATCTTTGCATTGCTGTCGTATCCCTGGATTCCTCTAACGTTTTGATTGGCTCTTAAAAAAATGCATCTCCTGTCATGTAAATAATAAAGTTTCTCTAAATTATAAAATCCGTGGGTGAAACTGTGTCAGGTGGGCCTCTTCTGCCTGGGAGCTCAAATTACTTGAAAAAAATCAGACATTGCTCTCTTTCATTGGAGCCTTCAGAGTGTTTCCCAGAAGTGATACAAGCTTGTTAAAAAAATTAAAAGATCTAAAGTAGAAAATGAAAATCACCTGTGAATCTGTTCCCCAGGGATAACCATTATGAACATTCTGGTATAAATCTTTCCAGACGGTTGTTTAACCAAAAACAGGATCGTGGTGTGTGTACTGTGTGTGACCTGCTCATTTCACTTCACATTCCACGCTGGACATCTTCCCATGCCAGTAAATAGACATTTGTGTATTTTTTAACAGCTGCTATAGTATTTTATATATGGATGGGACCCTATTTTACGTAACCATTCCGATTTTTTACTATTATAAATAGCACCGTGATGCACATCTCTGTCGCTCTCCACTCTGCACACCCGTCCTATTGCTTCCTTAGGAGGAATTCGGGCAGTGGAAGTGCTCCCCGGAAGCTGTGCCAGGGAAAGTTTTGATCATAGTCTCATTTTCCCAGCCATGATCTACTGAATGCTGCCCCCCTCCTCACGGACCGTTTTCCTCCTGCTTTTCCTAAGTGTTCACTCTTTTTCAAACCCTAGATGCGACAGTTACCAGAGCGGAGCATCTGCCCGTGTCCCACATGTTCCACAAAGCATGCCGCGGCCCGGGAGCGCTCCTCACAGCTGCGTTCACCTCCTGCAGAGCCAGACCTCGCCTGGCAAGCACACCGCGCCGAGCCCGCAGCTCTCTGAGCAGGTGGATGGCCCAGCCCGGGGGCGCGCCCTGAGCACCTGCCTCTGGTGAGTGTCTGAGGGCCGGGGTCACCTGCTTGGTGACGGCACAGTGAGCTCGGAGGGGACCCTGCAAGCTCAGGGAGCCTCAAGGGGAAGAAAAGACAGCCAAGCCCTGAGGGCCGAGCCTCCCAATATCCAGGAGGGGCCCGGACTGTGGCTCTTCATGGCAGAGGTTCTGCCTTCTGAGGTTCTCCGGGAGGGTGGTCCAAAGGTGGGGACAGGTGGGGACCGTGTGGTCGTCTGTGGCCTTCATCTGTTTCTGTGACACAAATGCCAGTCACCGCAAAAGCTTCTCGGCTTGTCGCCATACCATAATACTGTGGGAGCTCCCGTGCACAGCACCTCGCTGACGCCGGGGTAAAGGAGGTGCCTCTTGGCAGAAGGGGTTCTGGGAGGAGACCTGTCCCAGGACAGGAGGGAAATGGTCCACGTCTGTCCCAGGGTGAGGCGGGGAGGAGGAAATCCGCTCGGCACATCGAATCAGGCGCTCCCTGCGTCTAAGAACCCCGAAGTGCACTGCTCGAGCAGGGGTTGTAAACCAGGCCTGCCTGCCACCTGTCTTTGCAAACAAAGTTTTAGTGGGACACAGCCACGCCCATCGTGTACATATCCTCCAGGATTGCGTGGCCCACAAAGCCTAAAATATTTGCTGTCTAGCTCTTTACAGGAAATGTTTGCCAACTCTGCTCTAGAGGCTTGTAGCGAGGGGACATCGGAGGGCCTGGGGCCTGGGGTGCATTCAGGAAGCCCTGACACGCCATCCCACCCCAGGGGACCCAGCTCCAGGCTCAGGCACAGGGCCGCGCATGCCCAGATGTGACTGGCTGGAGAGAGCCATTTAAATGCATTCATTTACCAGGAGCCCAGCTGCGTGGCCTCGGCAGATGGGGGGTGGAGGGGCGAGTTCTTCGTGCCTGGGACCTTCACTCCGATTCTTCTCTCTCCTGACAGTGTCTGTTTCTTCTCTCCCCTCCCCACCCCCACTTGTCTGTCAAAACAAAGAATGCCCTTGCTCTCTAGAAGACAGATGCAAATCTGTGGTTCGTAGGGCTGAGCAACCTTCCAAACCTGTGAGCTCAGGAGCCCTTGCAGACGATTTTGGAGGGCAAGTGCAGGATGAAGTGAGATAAAGTCCGTGACTCATGGGGAGGGGTCAGAAGCACCAGGGGATGTGCCGGCTTCCGGAAGAGTTTGTGCTCAGATGGGGTTTGCAGTCATGGGGCCACCCTACAACCGTCCCCACCTATCACAGGAGGCAGAAAGCCACCGTGTGGCTGCCCCAGAAACATCCCTTTCTGCTGCACGGGCTGTCTGTGGGCTGCTGGCTAAGCCAGGCTCTGCACTCGGAACGACAGGTATTCCACATGCCCGGGACGGGGGCGAGGGTAGCGGAGGGGCCAGTGGGCCAGACTTTGGAGGCCGCCTGGGCCGTGTTAAGGAGTTTTGGGGTTATCTAGGGAGGTGGGGGTTTGAGCCGTGGAGGCAGGGTCAACTTTGTGGGTTGCCACGGTCTTTAGGGCAGCTGTGGGGTGGGGGTGGGGGCAAGTGGGTCAGGGCAGCGGTGATTCACTTCTGATGCTTCGGGCTGATGGGGGTGGGGGGGACAGAGAGCCTGTGCCGGTCACCAGGAGCGGCCTGGCTACAGGGCCGTGCGGAGCAGTGGCAGCATTCGTGCTGGGCGAGGAGCCGGTCAGGATGTTCATTCTGTGCCCTCAGTCCCTCCCGTGATGCTCCGTGGAACTCGGGACCCGCACGGTGAGGGCCCCGTGGGGAGGCCGAAGGCCTAAGGTGGCTTCAGGCAGGATTGACTTTGGAGGGACGCTGGGGAGCCCCATTCTTGCTGCCTGCCTGCCCTTCGAGTCCCACCGGCCTGCCCTCTGCCCCAATCGAGCGGTGAGTCAGGGACCAGGCATGACCGAGTGTGGCCAGGCTGCTGTCCGGGGAGGACCAGGTGGGACTCGGGCCGTTGGGCAGGGCTGAGGTGACGGGACACTTGAGGTCAGCTGGCCCCTCAGCTCCCCGTGGCACCCCTGCAGCAAGGAGTCCCAGCCTGTGACACTTGAGAGGGACCCGGGGTGAGTGTGGCAACACCCCGTGCGCCCCAGTCCTCATCCTGGTGAGGCTTGGCCATGGTGGCATTTCCGGAAGTTTCTGCCGTCAGGCTGTCTCCCGCAGGTGGACTATTTAATTAATGGAATGTACGCTGGGCTCCTGCAACCAGTCCTCTCAGCCTGCCCCCCGTCTCAACAGTGGCGCCCCCTTACCAAGTCCACAGCCTCCTGGGGCCTCATCCCTGCCTGCCGGCATGTGCCTCCCCGCCCCTCACCTGGAGGACAACCTACCTGTCCAGTCTAATCGCAGGTCTCGCCACACTGTCCCTGGGCCCCTCCCTGCTGCTGTCACCAGCTGCTGTCTCCCACTTGCCTCCCAGCAGGCGGAGCCCATCCATCTTCTAGAACAGTGATGGCGAACCTTTTGAGCTCGGCATGTCAGCATTTTGAAAAACCCTAACTTAACTCTGGTGCCGTGTCACTTATAGAAATTTTTTGATATCTGCAACCATAGTAAAACAAAGACTTATATTTTTGATATTTATTTTATATATTTAAATGCCATTTAACAAGGAAAAATCAACTAAAAAAATGAGTTCGCGTGTCATAGGTTCGCCATCACTGTTCTAGAACATGGCTCAGGTGCCACTTTCTCAGCAAACCTTCTCTGACTCCCACTCCCACCCACCCACCAGAGTTCAGTGCCTCCTCTGGGCCCCTGCAGCACCCTGTCCTCCCACCCTCACCCGGTCTCCCAGAGGACCCGCCTTCAACTTACCCTTCAAGACCCGCCAGGAGCTGCCTCCTCCAAGCTTCCTGCTCTAGTCACGCCTCCGCTCCATGTCTGCGCCAGCCCGCAGGGACCTCTTTTCTGTGTCTCCCGAGGACGGCAGGCTTCCTGGAGGGCGCTGCATGGCTTCCACCTTCTTGTCCTGTGCGCTGCCTGGCACAGGAGCGGGCACTGGGATGTTGGACGGTGGATGGGTGGGTGGCTGGATGGTGGCTGGCTGAGTGGCGTCTCCGTGTGAAGGGCCTGGCCCGCCGTCCCGGGCGCACAGAGGTGCCATGGGCCTGGTCTGTGTCCCGCGGCCACAGGAGACGTTGAGGAGGAAGACTTGGCCCATCTTGGTGATCAGGAGGCCTCGGCCCTTGCCCTGCTGCTCCTTCAAACTCTGAGCTCGGGGGTGGGCAGTGGGCACTTGTGGGGTTGGGACTCAGTGGAACTGGGTCAGGAGGTGCTTTAAACCATCAAACACAGACGCTGGTCAGATCACTAACCACCGTGGCTGAGACGCGGCGCGCTCTTCTGGGTGTCAGCCTGGTCGAGGCACTTGGCTCGTTGGCAGCCAGACCAGGCCAGAGCCCTGCACATGGCGCAGTGCTGTGCCCAGGCCAGGCCAGGCTGTGCGTGACTGACCGGACGCCTTGTCTCTTGATCACAGATCCCTCGGCCACGTAGCCGGCATCGTTAGCAGCCTGAGCGGCAGCTGGGAGCCTCGGGGACTGCCCAGCCTTGCTCCCGGCTCACCCACAAGATGTGGACAGCCCTGGTGCTCGCTTGCATTTTCTCCTTATCCTTCTCTGAGAGCCAAGTGGCGCCCCGGGATCCAGGTGAGTGAGAAAGCGGGGGGATTGCTGGACAGGCCCCAGCGGCCCCAGCGCACCCGCAGCCCGAGGGGTGTCTGCGAGCCCCGGCTGAGAGTGGGGAGCCCCCGAGCTCCACGGGAGCCAGGCTGGGAAGGGCTGTCAGGCAGAGCTTCTGCAGGCCCAGCGAGGGTAGGGGGCCCCCACTGGGCCGGGCCTCGGAGCCCTGAGAGGGTCTCTGGCTGGACCCTGCAAAGCCTCCTTACTTCCAGAAGCCTGGTCTTTGCTGGGGAGTTTGTCCATTCAGACCTCAGACACTTGGTGGCTGCCGCTCTGACAGGGCCTCCCCCCTCCTAAGGTATCCCGCCCCCCCAACACACTCCACCCCCAGGCATCCCACTGCAGAGCCTTCATGAAGCCGAGAGGTCTCTGGTGGGAATACCTGGGCGGCAGGTTATCTGCTCTGTAAGCCACACGGTGTTTGAGGGTTTAATGAGGGGTCACACCTGTGATATGAGGCTCACCCTGTCTGCTGTTTTGGGGATTGGATCAAAGAGGGAAGCTCTTAAGCCTTCCATGGGCTTGGGGTTCAGAGAGGGCAGAGCAGTTTTAAAACCAAAATGCCAGCTGCCCCTGCGGTGGGCTGCAGGCCAGGTGTGGTGGCAGCGAGGAGACGGGAAGCTGCGCACACCCCGCCCTCGTCTCTCCGGGCCCAGGAGATAGGCCAGCGAAGCCGCCAGCCAGCCCCCTGACTGTGCCTTTTTCTCCCCTTCCTGACATTAAGGGACCTTCGTCTTCAACCAGACGCAGGCTGATTTAGTCACAAAAAGCACATCCAGAGAAACGACTGACAGCATCTTTAACAGAACCTCAGAGGGCGTGACGACGCCCTCTCCTGTCACGTTGGCCAGAGAGATTTCGGGAGCCGCCCATAGCTCCCCTGCAGTCACGGCAGGGAGGACACCCGGGACCAATGGGGGCACCTCGGCAGCTACCGTGGGTCCCGCCAACCTCACGGACTCCAGGGTGCCCACGCCGACATCCAAACAGCCAACCCCGGCGTCCACGGCCGCTCTCATCACACCCCGCACCCAGGCATCCAGCAACGGTACGTTGCCAACAGCAGCACCTAGGACGACGCTGGCCACCAGCACGCAGACTGCTGCCGCCACCACGGCAAATGCCAGCAGCGCCCAGGGCTCGCAGGGCCCCGCCGAGCACACCCCCCGCCACTCCACAGACAGCCCCACGCTCCCCACGAGTCCCCACGCACTTAACACATTCACACAAGGTCCCACCACCCAGCCGTCGACTGCCCGACCCGTGGCAGACACAGCAAGTAGGCCCACCCCGCCCCTCGAGAACACAACCCCAGAGCCCACCCATTCCGTGGCTGCCATGTCCACCACGGCGGTGACAGCTGAGGGGCCAGCGGCCAGCACAGTGCCAGCTCCTGTGCCACAGGCCAGCCCCACACCTGGGGTGGAGGCCACGTCCCCCACAACACCGCCAAGCCCTGTCTCATCTCCACGGGGGGCCACGGGGCCTGCCACGCCCTCCACTCCAGAGCAGGTGTGGCCTGAGGCCACAGGTGGCCCTGCTTCCACCGGCCCAACCCCTGGGAGCTCAGGGGACCCTAAGGTGCCAACCACGGACTCGTGCCAGCTCAGCACCCAGGGCCAGTACCTGGCGGTCACCACCAGGGCTCTGCCCCTGTCCCCGGTGAACAGAGGGGCACTGCTGGCCATGCTCCTGCTTGGGGTGGCCTTCCTCTTCGCGGTCTTGGTCCTGTTTGCGCTGCAGGCCTACGAGAACTACAAGAAGAAGGACTACACGCAGGTGGACTACTTGATTAACGGGATGTACGCGGACTCAGAAATCTGAGGTGGCGGAGGCGGCCTTGGGCTCCAGCTGGACCCTCCGGGGGCTGGGCCCTGCCCTCCTTCCATGTTCCCCCTGAGACCAAACCAAGTGCTTCCAAATCCTTTGGTGCAATTCAGGAGCTCTGCCAGATGTTTAAACACATTTAATTACGGTCGGATTAATTCCATGGTCACTAAAATGTTGCTTTTTTTCATATTTATTTTTGTAAACGATCATGGTGATGGAGCAGGCAGTGATTGGGGCGGTTGGGCCCTGTTGTGTCAGACCCTGGCAGGAATTAAAGCGATGACTGCTTTCCATTCAGAGCTTTCCATTCTGTGGCCCCACCCACCCACCTCGCCAAGGGGAGCCTTTGCAGATACGAGGGCCCTGGAGTTTGCTATGCCTGGGCTGCTTCCTTGGGCTTCGCTCTGGTGCCAGACCTGCCCACACTCAACGGGAGGGGTCTCTGGTGCCCTGTGGAGACCGCCCTTTCCTCTAATCCCCCTCTCCCTGGACCATTAGGTGGTGAACCGTGTGAAGTTTGATTTGGGCATGAGATCTGCACCCACCCTGTGAACCGCACCTGAGCCACACGCTCAGCCTGGACCTGCTGAGCCCCACTCATAGTGGCCCTGCGTGTGCACTCACCTCAGGTGGTCATTATTAGCCCCTTGACCCAGGTCACCCTGGAACCTGGGGAGCCCCAGGCCCTAGCGAGTGCAGGGCCCGCTCCCCTCGGCGGGACAATTGCTCTGGGTTCCTGGCTCCTGCTTCCCAACACCAGTGGCCCTCAGAGCCACACCTGTGTCCTTGCCATGTACCAGCTACTGTCCTGCTTGATGCAGGGAACGCACTGCGCTCCCCCTGAACCCGGGGAGGATCAGCTTCCCTCCCCATTTTCTTTTCTTTTTTTAAATATATTTTTATCGATTTCAGAGAGGAAGGGGGAGAGAGAGAGAGAGAGAAACATCAATGATGAGAATCATTGATTGGTTGCCTCCTGCATGCCCCCTACTGGGGATTGAGCCTGTAACCCGGGCATGTGCCCTTGACTGGAATCAAACCTGGGACCCTTTAATCCACAGACCGATGCTCTATCCACTGAGCCAAACCGGCTAGGGCTTCCCTCCCCGTTTTAAAACGTGCCCACTGTGGCACAGAGGAGACAAACCCCCACTGGGGCCGCAGTCAGGTTAAGCCCGGCTCTCTAGAGCTGACCCTTGAGCAACGCCGAGGGCTGAAGGCACCAGGCAATCCCCATGTAACCGCACTTGGCTCTCCGCACGCAGATTCCCAGGGCGAGTGCGCTCTCGGACTGCAGGGCTCCATCGAAGCCATCGCGTGTGAGTGAGTGGGCCTTCCCCTGCCCACGGCAGCGGGAGCTGACAGGCAGCACGCAAGGCTGGGTACCCAGGCCGGGTCTGCAGCCGCTGCCACCCGCTCCGAGCAAGCGTGGAATGTGCTGGAGCTTGGCGGCTTCGCCTGTGAAGTGGGGAAACGGCATAGCATCCATCATGGACCTTGGGCGGGGGCGGGCCACCCCTGCTTCTCTACCCAGAAGCCTGAGGAAGAGACGGATTTCGTCTGACCCCAGGTCCCCATCACAGAGGTCTCCTGAGCCAGGCCTGGGTAACAGCTCCTCTCATTTAAGTTCTTCCTCCTCCAAAAAGGGATTTCAAATGGCCCGTGATAAAGACCAGGATAGTAACTCCCAGATCGGTTGAGATGATGTAAGAGCCAGGGATGGAGAGGACACAGGGTGGGGAGAAGGGGTCAGAACTTCCCCGCCGCCCTCGCCAGTCCTCAGCCCGTCTTTCCTCACTGGTTGGTCCACAGGCCCAGGGGCCCCTTCCCCCTCTCAGGCCCCCGCTGACTGAGCCACTGAGCCCAACCAGCCTGGGCCCTCCTGCCTCTCCCTCCCCGTCACACACCTGAGCCTCCTGCTCCTCCCTCCCCGTCATACACCTGAGCCTCCTGCTTCTCCCTTCCCCGTCACACACCTGAGCCCCCTGCCTCTCCCTTCCCGTCACACACCTGAGCCCCCCTGCCTCTCCCTCCCCGTCACACACCTGAGCCCCCCTGCCTCTCCCTTCCCGTCACACACCTGAGCCCATCTGCACAGGTGATCGCAGGGGCTGTGATTGCACGGGCCGTGGCTGGGAGGCGGGCGTTCCAGTCCTACTTGTCATCCCTGCGGTCCTGAGCTCCGGGCCAGCTGGCAGCATTGCTCTGAGACAGGCTGCTCTGTGAAGGGCAGGCTCCACCCCTCGCTGGTTGAGTTTCACCTGGAGCTGGAGCCCCAAACCCACGTGAGCTCTGAACCCACGTGAGCCCCGAACCCATGTGAGCCCCAAACCCACGTGAGCTCTGAACCCACGTGAGCCCTGAATCCACATGAACCCCGGACCCACGTGAGCCCCAAACCCACGTGAGCCCCAAATCCACGTGAACTCTGAATCCACGTGAGCCCCGAACCCACGTGAGCTCTGAACCCACGTGAGCCCTGAATCCACATGAACCCCGGACCCACGTGAGCCCCAAACCCACGTGAGCCCCAAATCCACGTGAACTCTGAACCCACGTGAGCCCCAAATCCACGTGAGCCCTGAACCCACGTGAGCCAGAGCACAGAGGGCGTTCTCACGACCAGGTGCCCTGTTCCTTTCCGGGCAGGTAGGACAAGGGGCCCCACTGGGCTGGCTCAGCTTGTGATCAGGGGCCTCTGCCTGGTACCCCTACATCCAAGGAGTCGGGCATGGGATGTCACAGGGCCTGCCTGTCCCTCAGCCCCAGCCAGGGACTCCACGTGCATCGTTGCTCAACTGAGCTGGAAACCTGTGCTTCGTCCCTGAGTCCAACGGACCATCCTAAATATTCCTACGAGCAGGGCGTTCTCCTGCCCGGGCCCTGCTGCTGCCTGCTGGGGCCCCGCCACCAGCGGCCAGCCCAACCCACGCTGTCCACCTGCAGCCAGGGACCCCTCCCGGCGCAAACCTGCAATTTTCCTGCCAATAGCCCTTCCCGGGATACAAGTCAAGCTGTGCCCAGCATCCCAGGCCAGGGCAGACTCTTCCAGGGGGGCCCTGCCGGGTGGAACACGAGGGCCAGCGCTGGGCTCCAGACAGCCCCTCCACGCAGGCTGTCCCAATCTGGGGGCCGCAGGTCCAAGCCCTGGGCTGTCCCCTGCCTTGGAGGCCACCAGACTGTAGTGACCAGGCAGCCATTCCTGGCCTGCAGGAAAGGCCTGTTTAGCATTAGCTCACCGGGCACTTATTGAGCGCCCACTGTTTGCTAACCAAGTGGGGATTCAGAGATGAAGCTGCCCACCCTGCCCCCAGGAGCACACGTGTAGTGGGTGAGGCACAAGGAAGATGGGAAGAGGAAGAGGTGGGCACACACAGGAGGCACCAGGCCCTCCTGGGAGCTCAGGGAGGGCTGCCCAGCAGAGGGCACTCAGAGCCTCTCTTCCGGGCCTGTTGCCATGATGCTTCAGTGCCCAGAGCAAGACTGGCACACGGAGGCGGGGAGGGGGGCGGTCTACTCGATGCATCCAAGTCCACACAAAGGCCACAGGAGAAGTGAGAGACCGGCGTGGCCCCAAGGGGGCGCGCTTCCCGTCACAGTGAGGAAACCGAGGCAGGGGAAGGCCAAGTCACTGCCCAAGGCCATCCTCCAATTGGTCTGTCTGTCAGTCTGTCTACAAAGGTGGCACAGACAGCCTGGGGGCGTGGCCACACCCACATTGGCACCCCGCAGGCGGGGCCCGTTTCCTCTGGGACAGCCAGCATCGCCCCTCCCCACCCCACTCCCTCCAGGAAAGTGCAAGGGCGCCACCTGGTGGCCGCGGCTCCTTCCAGCATCCTCTCCCGGTGGGTGCTGCCCCGGCCAGAGACAGTGCCCGGGGGATCCCTCCAGCCCAGCTCCCCGCACCGGAAGCTCCTGGTCCCCACGCTGGAAGAACTCACCTCTCAGTGCTCCGAGGCCAGGGGTCTCCGGGGAATTAGGGCATTTGTGCCAGTGACTGTCTCCGCTTCAGGGTCCAAGAGCCTCGAGGTGGGCGGGGCTGCCTCCTCACAGGAGGTTCTCCTGGGGACAGATCTGCTCCCAAGCTCCCGTGGTTCTGGGCAGAATCGGTTCCTTGCAGGTTGTCAGTCAGTCTCCGGGCCTTGCTGGCTGGAGGCTGGGGCCTCCCTCGCCTCCTGGCCACATGGCTCACTCCCTGCATGGCAGCTGCTTCTTCAAAGCCAGCATGGGAGAGGTCTCCAAGCAAGGTCAACATCAAGATCTTTTATTTTATTGTAAACTGTAGACACATGACATACAATTTGCCATTTTAAAACAATGAAAGGTGTACAAGCTCAGGGGCATCAAGAACATCCACAATATTGGGCAACTATCACCACTACTTCCAGAACTCTCTCCTCGTCCCAAACAGAAACTTCTCATTAGGCAACAACTCTCCATCTCCCCGCCCCCCACCAGCCCCAGCAAGCTCTGTGCTCTTTTCTGTCTTTATGAACTGGCCCATTCAAGATAGAGTGGAACATACACTATTTGTCCTTTCATTTCTGATTTTCATGATTTGAGTCTTCTTTCTTTTTTTCTCTCTCAGTTAATCTAGCTAAAGGTTTGGCAATTTTGAAAAGATCAACAATCCGATTTAATAAGCAAAACAAATTTGGAAAGACACACACACACTCCCTGGATTTTTAATGATGAAAATGCAAGTCAATGAAAAGAGAATAGTCTTTCAAGAAATGCTGCTGGAACAATTGGAGATGAGGGGGAGAGAGAGAGAGAGAGAGAGAGAGAGAGAGAGAGAGAGAGAGATGATCCTCAACCTATACCTCACACCTTACATAAAAATTAACCAAGCCTGGCTGGTGTGGCTCAGTGGTTGAGTGGAGACACATGAACCAGGTCAGGGCACATGCCCGGGTTTGGGGCTCTATCCCCAGTAGAGGGTGTGCAGGAGGCCGCTGATTGATGTTTCTCATCTATGTTTTTATCTCTCTCTCCTTTTCCCTTCCTCTTTCTAAAAATCAATAAAAACATTTTTTTTTTTAAAAAAGGAAGACATAGAAACAGCAAATAAGCCCATGAGAAAATCCTTAACATCATTAGTCGCTAGGGAAATGCCAATTAAAGCCACAGATGCCCCTTCCAGACCTACGGCTAAAATAAGGAGACTGACCATACCAAGTGTGGACAAGGCTGTGAAGGAGCTGGGTCTCACCCACGGCTGGGATGCAGAATGGTATGGAATCTGAAAAATGATTGGGCACTTTTTAAAATATATATATTTTTTATTGACTTT